ATATTGTAACACTTAACACATTCAAACAAAGTTATACTTTGCAAAATAGATTATCAAATATAGACTACACTTTCTTGAAGACAGAAACCATATCTCATTCATTCCAACTTTCACAATGTCCTGCAGAGTGCCACCATGCCTAGACATGAACATCTTTCCTATCTCCTTATCAGCTTAAGAAGAAACCAAATAATGAGGAACAGCAGGCAGCATGGTGGCTAAAGCACTGAACACTCTCACATGGCCGACCACAGTTCAAGTCCTAGACCTGGTAGCTTGCTTTTTCACTTTCCCTCTCTCTCTGTCTCTCTCTCTGGTTAAATTAAAATAAATGAATGAATAAATAAAATGAAATGATTAAAAAAAGAAAAAGAAACCAAATAAAATAGGAAACACCCTACAACAAGCCTTACCAGTCACTAAGCCTTCCCAAGCAAAGACTAAATCCTGTAAAGCCTAACAAACTCCTTTCCAAGGCTTTTGAACTTCTCTGACCACAATACACAAGGATATATATATACACAAACATACATATATATATTTTATTTTACAGCATAACACTATACATACATGTATACATGTCACTAAGTTGTATGCTAATATATTTATTTCTAATTCAATCTTCTTTTTTTAATTACTGATACCAACCTACTCAATTTTATTACCAATCAAGGGGTTATGACCTGTATAGTCTGAATAATACCACTCCAGAGCACAAGTCTTTAAAGTGAGTAACTGGCCCAATCCTAGTGGCATGCGCTACTACAATGCCATTCCCCACAGGCAGGGATCACATGAGAGGCCTGGGATCCATTCCCAGTCCAATTTACAAAGCCAGGCACAGTGGTATACACCTATAATCCCATTGACTTGGGAGAATGAGGCAGGAGGATTAAGATACTGAGAGAACAAGACTTTAACCACACAAAAAAAAAAAAAAAAAAAAAAAAAGGAAGGAAGGAAAATGAAAAGGAAAAGCAAAGGAAAGGAAAGAGGGAAGCCAGGAAGACAAAGCAAGGCATTATACTTCTGGGTGTATGCAAAGGTTTTCCAAGGGGTTCATGGACACATGTTATTTCAACTTCCAGATCCTCAATTTTCACAAATTTTCTTTTTCTTTTTTCTTTTTTTTTTTAATAAAAAAAGTATTATTGTCTTTGACTTTACTATTTTTTTTTTTTTTTTTCATTTAACCAGGGAGAGACAAAGCAAGAAAGTGAGAAGGCGAGCTGTCAGGTCCGGGATTTGAATCATGGTTGGCCATGTGGGGGTCCAGTGCCTTTAACCACCATACCACCTATTGGACCCATAAATTTTCTTTATTAAAGCAAGGGTAGTTCAAGTGTAGATTTCCTTCTTCACTTCCCCTTTCATAATCACCCTTTTCTTACTTAGCCAAAGTGAGCCTCAATGAAAAGCTCTTTTCAGATTAGCAGATGGTGTAATAGCTACATTGCTGGACTCCCACATAGTCGATCGCAGTTCAAGTCGCAGACCTGGCGGCTTAAAACTCACATCAGGTAAGTGAGAGTTCACACTCAAAATCCCAAGAGGAGACGGAAAAAGGGACTGTGGTGTGGCCATCCCCCCCCCAGGGAGTGATTTCTCACTTTCTGTCTCTCTGGCAAGTGTATGCGTCTTATGGCAAAGATTTCTGAAAAAAGAAAAGCTATTTTCACCAATTCTCTGTTGTGTAAAAATTTCTCTGTGGTATCCAACCAGAGGGTCAGTTTTTAAATTTTATAATAAAATTGAAAGATAACCTAATTGAGTTGTCAGCTGATAGAATAAAGATATTTTTGAAGATAAAACACTATGGGGGCTGGCAGGTGGTGTGGTGGTTGGTTACAAGCACTGTACTCCCATATGGCCAACCACAATTCAAGTCTTGGGCCTGGTAGCTTGCTTTCTCATTTTCCGTCTCTCTTGTTCTCTCCTCTGGTCAAATTAAAATAAGTAAATTAAATAATTCTTTAAAAAAAGGTATGATGAACCTTAAAAAAAAAGGGGGACCAGCAGATAGCATAATGGTTGTGTTGCTGGAATCCCACGTAGTGAACCATGGTTCAAGTGCCGAACCCAATGGCTTAAAACTGGTTATGCACATGCGTGCCCAAATTTGAGGAAAACTGTGTAAAATTTTTGCCGAATAATGTATTCTTTTTTGTTGTTGTTAAATGGATGATAATGGGTATTAAATCACTATAATATTTTGATTTCACGGGATATGTTTAAAAGTATGAAGTTCTTTTTTTTTTTTTTGGAGAGGTTTTTGCTATAGGGCACATGCGCTCGCCAGACAAAGAGAGACAGAGAGCGACAGAGAGACTGCAGGCAAGAAATCACCCTCCAGGGGGGATGGCCATGCCGCAATCCCTTCTCCTCCGTTCTCCTCTCGGGATCTTGGGCACGCACGCACACACGCTGCCTTCACCACCATACTACCAGCTGGCCAAAAAACATAAAGTTTTCATTTGAGTTATAAGTATTGACAATATGATAGAATTTACATCCTTCACAAATGCAAATTAAAACCACTATAAGGTATCACCTAATCCAGTCAGAATGGCTATGATCAAAGAACAAGTTCTAGTGAGGCTGTGGAAGAAAGGGATCCCTCCTACACCCTTGGTGGGAATATAAATTAATACAATACTGTGGAAAACAATAGAGGTTCCTCAAAAATCTATAAAAGAGCTACCGCTTGACCCAGTAATCCCACCTATGAGGTGATTTTTTGCTTTCTTTCAATCTCTCTCTGACTCTCTCCAGTGAGTACAGGTCCCCTATGGCAAAAATCTAAAAAGAAAAAGAAAGTATAAGGGGTATATATAAGTATGTAAATATTTTATGGTGTACATAAATTAAAAAGGTGTATGACCACTACTCTAGAGCAGGGATGGAGTAGTATTTACTAAAACCATCAAAGAGCTTATTAGAAACGCAAATTCTGAGGCCAGTTAGTGCTTTGGTGGTAGGGGCAAGTGTATCCCACATGGTTGGTATTTACAGTGGCTAGATTCCACATGGCTGACCACTGTGTAGTGTGAGTCCCAGATCTGGCAGCTTGTAAAACGCATCAGGCGGAAATCCTTAAAGATGAAGGAGAAAGGACTGTGGTATAATCATCTCCCGTAAAGGGTGCTTTCTTGCTTTTTTTCTCTCTCTTTCTCTCCCTCTCCCCCTCTAGCTAGCATACATGCCCTCTGGCAAATTATTGAAAAAATAAATGTAAACTGTCTGACCCCACCAACACATACTATGGTTTAACAAGCCCTCAGCCCTCATATTAAAGTCTGAATGACAATGTTCTAGATTAAAGCAGTTTTCAAAATTTAGTGTGCTTCTGAATCACCTAGAGAGCTCTAAAAAAAAAAAAAAAAGATGGACCCTAATCCCAGAGTTTCTAACGCTGATCCATATATGTGCAGCTCTTACCATATTGTCATGGATTTGCCTCATACACATTCCTTTTTCACAACTCACCACACAATTACTTAGCATCTGAGCTCACTTGAATTCAATGAAGTTAAAGAGCCACATGAATCTACCCTTTCTGTATACCGAGCACCGAAGTACAGTGCCCCATAGTAGATACTACACAATATTTATTGATAAATAACTGAACATTTGTTAGATTAATTCCACACAATATCACTTTTTTGGGGGGGGGAGAGGTTTTTGCTATAGGGTGCGTGCGCTCACCAGAAAGACAGAGACAGAGAGATAGAAAGTGAGAAATCACCCCCCAGGGGGGATGGCCAGGTAGCAATCCCTTCATCCCTTCTCCTCCATCCTCCTCCTGGGATCTTGGGCATGTACGCACACGCACCAGGCATGAGTTTAAGCCACTGGGTCCGGGACTCGAACCACGGTCGACTACATGGGAGTCCAGCGACACAGCCATTATGCTAACTGTTGGTCCCCACACAATATCACTTTTAACACTAGTAATGGCTAAAGCTATTACTAGAATGCCAAAAGCCTTGGTTTGCCCAGGACTGTTTTCAAGTGTTAAGAGTTCTGAAAATCTCATGTTTCAGGACAAGATAGTCAGCTATATTAAATATCAATATTAGGGTTATAAAGAAATAAGGAAAAAAATCTGAATAATACATTTTCAACTTGTTTTTCAATTCCTAGCTCTAGTCTTCAATATTTTTTCATTATACAATGTAAGCACAAATAAAATCAAGATATACTCAATAACAGTAACAGTGTTTGACCAAGAAACTTAACATTTGAAGGCAGTTTAGTATGAGGCTGTGAAAGACTTATAAACTTACCCTCTTTAGCCAAATATAACTCCTTAAATTTTGCTCTCTTTTGATTAAATTCTTGCTCAAGCTGCTGCTGTGCACGTGAAAACTCTGCATTAGGGGGGGGGAGAGGTTTTTGCTATAGGGTGCGTGCGCTCACCAGAAAGACAGAGACAGAGAGATAGAAAGTGAGAAATCACCCCCCAGGGGGGATGGCCAGGTAGCAATCCCTTCATCCCTTCTCCTCCATCCTCCTCCTGGGATCTTGGGCATGTACGCACACGCACCAGGCATGAGTTTAAGCCACTGGGTCCGGGACTCGAACCACGGTCGACTACATGGGAGTCCAGCGACACAGCCATTATGCTAACTGTTGGTCCCCACACAATATCACTTTTAACACTAGTAATGGCTAAAGCTATTACTAGAATGCCAAAAGCCTTGGTTTGCCCAGGACTGTTTTCAAGTGTTAAGAGTTCTGAAAATCTCATGTTTCAGGACAAGATAGTCAGCTATATTAAATATCAATATTAGGGTTATAAAGAAATAAGGAAAAAAATCTGAATAATACATTTTCAACTTGTTTTTCAATTCCTAGCTCTAGTCTTCAATATTTTTTCATTATACAATGTAAGCACAAATAAAATCAAGATATACTCAATAACAGTAACAGTGTTTGACCAAGAAACTTAACATTTGAAGGCAGTTTAGTATGAGGCTGTGAAAGACTTATAAACTTACCCTCTTTAGCCAAATATAACTCCTTAAATTTTGCTCTCTTTTGATTAAATTCTTGCTCAAGCTGCTGCTGTGCACGTGAAAACTCTGCATTAATTTTTTCCAATTCTGCTACCCGTTGCTGAAGAGAAACTGGAAAAAGAAATAATTAAAAAGTAATAACTTTTAACTGTAAGTTAAATTATAAGAATAAATTAGAATTCCAACTACACATTATTATACGTGAAACAAGTACCTGACTTTCTTCCAACAATCCGCTACAGCTTAGGAAATTCTAATTTTAAAAAAAGGCAGTTCCATTTGACTTCATATACGAACCGTGAAGGAGTCGCATAAAGTGAAAACACATATATACAGGGAAACCTGTAAGGCCAATTTCCAAAAACAGAGCTTCTAATACTTTTTAGAACTGACAAGATGTCAATCCACTTTTAACTGTTAGATATTAGATTATTGGAGCTATTTACCCCACAAATGAAACCGCTGCCAATCTGGCTATTTGTTGTTCGTTGCAAATGTTACAAGCAAAATCTAACAGGTCCCCTAATGTGGACAGTCATACCAGCTTGAACTATTCTTCCAGTTTCAAAATGACCCATTACTATTGTACTGAAATCACAACCAAGAACCCATACGTACAGAAAGGACACAAAACTGTACACTCTGGGGCCAGCAGTTGGCACAGCAGTTACCACTGGACGCCCACATGGCTGACCATGTTTGCAGTCCTGGACCCAGTGGGGTGCATATGCGCCCAAGGTCCTGGGAGGAGAATGATTTTGGCTTAGCATGTTTTTCAAGCTGCAGGATCCAAGACTCAAACCACACAGTTGGTCAGGTGAGATCCAGCACCTTAACCCAGCATGCCACCCGCTATCCAGCCAAAGGTTCTTCTGATTAAAGCACAGGTGTGAAGTCCAGAGGCCCAAACTTTTCATCTCTTCCTTTTCCTAGCAGCAACCCAGCCTTAAATCATGACCATATATCGGTAATTAATGAGCCACCATCTAACTATCTAAGTCAGCAGAAGTCTCTAGTCTCTATTACAAACCACCCTGGTTAAGGGTGCCTATAGTTTTATCAAGATTTGAGTTATCTTTGAAGGCCATCCCCTCCTCCAGCCTATCTCTATATTTGAGAGTTGATTTTTTTTTTGAGAGAAAGATTTTTGTTATAGGGCACATGTGCTCACCGGGGAGAGAGAAAGAGAGAGACAGAAAGTAAGAAATCACCCCCCAGGGAGGATGACCATGCCAAAATCCCTTCTTCATTCTCCTCTTGGGATTTTGGGCATACACGCGCACACCTGGAGTGAGTTTTTTAAGCTGCCGGGTTTAGTTCTTGAACCGAGGTCGACTACATGGGAGTCCTGCAATATAACAATTATGCCATCTGCTGCTCCTGAGAGTTGATTTTATAATGCACCAATAAATACATACATACATACATACTAGAAAAAAATGTACCAATTTACAGCTGGGTAATAGAATTATGGCTCTTTAATTTCTTCCATTTGCTTTTCAAAGTTCTCAACATTGAAAAAATGTAATTCTTTGACAATAAATAATGAACTAAAACTGGTATTTGTTTATTCTTATGACGTTTCCAGACCAGTCTCACTACAGATTGACAAGTACCAGTACAATCCACGGCAGAAAGAGAAAATGACTTCTACTTTGAGATGAGTTCCATGTCCATATAGGTAAGGAGTTGTTTTGAGGAATAAATACCTAAGATCTTTAGGTCAAAACAATGACATCTGGTTACTGGAAAGCTTGATAACTTTTCAAGAAAAAGAGGAACAGAACAGTCAGAAGGGGAAAATGTGCAATCATCTCATATCTACCATTTGAAGGGACGAAGGGAATTTGTTCTCAGAGCTATTTACTTCTGCTGGAATTTTTTTTTTTTTTTTTTTTAACTGCTAACTTCCAATTATCAAATAAATTACACTTTTCCACTTAAAGCTTAGGAGTAGTAGTAGAAATTGATTACTGCAGAGGTTGGGAAAGGCTCTGGGGGATCAGTAAAGGAGAAACACACAATTCCTCTGTTTTTAGTGTTCTCTAACGATTACATCCCCACCCCACCCCACCCCATCCCACCACTTTCCACCAAAACACGTGCCTGTGTCCGCAAGCACATGTTCATAAAGTACACATGTCACTCAACATTATATTTAAATTTGAGAACTGAAGCTAGTAAGTCAACAACAACAAAAAAATACATCCTTTAAAACTATAGCCAAGATTAAGTGTGTTTCCTCTACTCCCACCCCCATCCTGGCTCTGACCCACAGTTCAGAACAGTCACACCCACAGTCTGTCTAGCTCTCTCCAGGTTTTGAGACTGTTTTCAATTCCAGGAATCATGATCCTCTTGAGCCAAGTTATCAAGTAACGCCCTATTCTCATTTTTAATTATAAAAAGCAATATTCTACCTTAAATACTTCTAACATGTTGCAATTCTATAATACAGAAAGGCCAAAATAACTGCTTTTACAAGAACGCCTTTACTGCTACATTAGAAAACTCGATTCACCCTGAAAAAGACAGCAGGAAAGTCTACAAACAGACATGTCCTAATGCTTTAGCAACCGATCACAAATTCAACCAAAACCAGATCTCAACACACGAAACGCAGTATTATTTTTCTATGTTTACTAAGTTCACAATAATGAGTAATAGCTCACATAAAATATCTAATGTGTATATTTTTAAACTTGACAAGTGTTAGCTGTCATTTTTAACTAGTGATATTTATTGAATGAATAACAGGAAAAAATAGAGTGATTAATTGACTTTTTACACAGCCAAAAAAAAAGAACAGAAGTAACTTCCACCCTCATGATTCTGACTCAGTCCCACACTTAAACTTCCAGCTCAGATCCTTCCCTACTGAGTTGTCGGAAAAGTCATGACGCATTTTTGCATGGAAAAAAATATGTCATGACTTTTCTGACAACCCAATATTAACATGCATATCTTCATGGCATCATGGAAGATTACTGTTAGTGCCAGCCTTCAATAAAATTAACCTTCTGAAATTTAGCAACTGAGAGTATTAGTATGCTAGCCTTCATTAACCACTCCACATTCTGTCACCTTCGATTGAGTGATAAGGGAAAAATGATCTTATACTATAGCTACTTTTTTTTTTCTTTTATTGCCACATGGTGTGTTGCACCTACAGCACGTCTCAATGGGTCATGGTCACACTACAATCCTTTTCCTCTTTTTCACCATCTCATCAGGATTTTGGACTCATACCTAGAATGTTTTTGAAGCCAGTAGGGCTGGGATTTGAACCACAGTCAGCAATATGGGATCCAGCTCCTTGCACACGGATTTTACCACTGAGCTACAGGACAGGGCCCTGCAATAATTCTTTTTTTTTTTTTTTTTTTTTTTTGGGCGGGGGAGGTTTTTGCTATAGAGCACCTGTACTTGCCAAAAAGAGACAGAGACAGAAAGCGAGAAATCACCTCCTAGGGGGGATGGCCTCGCCGCAATCCCTTCTGTTCTATTCTCCTCTCAGGATCTTTGACACGCATATGCACACGCTTGGCATGAGTTCAAGCCACCAGGTCTGGAACTTGAACCACAGTCAACTACATAGGAGTCCAGCAACATAGCCATTACACCACTGCTGGTCCCTCCCTGCGATAATTCTTAAGTTAAATCTTTTTACTTAATTTTTATATGAGTAAGAGATCATATATTATACTAAAAATATCTTTAAGCTCCAAGTGCTGTCCTCCTACTACATTCTTCACGCAAAGAAAACACTACTAAATTTGATGAGACATAAGAAAGCAGGCTAGGTCAAATTTTACTACAACCAAAATCTTTCTATTTAAAGATGTTCAAGATCCAAGAAGACACCTATGTCAAGCAATACATAACAGAATATAACCCTAATGGGGGAAAAATCTGAACAATTCCTGAAACTCATAAATCTTTTTTTCTTTTTCTTTTCCTTTTTTTTTTTTTAATTTCTGACACTATTTTTCTGAAACATTTTTTTAAATTAATTAATTTACAATCATTCCCTGCGCATCATCACAGCATACAAAATATGATGTCCCACCTAGAATATACTGCATAGTGGCTTAATCACATGTTATCATCAATAATTTTCCATTTCTAGCTTTGTGTGTGTGTGTATATATACATGTATGAATTTTTTACACCTCTTTCCAACCCTCTACCATACCCCACCCTTCTCCCACACTATCTCAAGTGTCTACAGCTGTTTTCCATTCCTTTTTTTCCTCATATTTTACTGATTCACAAAATTTCTTAAATAATCTAACACTTTCAATAGCAAGTCCAGCCGATATATACATATCTGTGAATACATGTCTGACTTTAGGCATGAAACTGAGTAGAATGAACATACTATAACGTAGCACATGGCTGATGCTATATAGCTTACTACAGTCATTAAATAGGTTTTTTTTTAGTACAGTTTTTAGTTTCAAGAAAAGCAGTTTTAGCTTTAATAAATCAAAGAAATGCTAAGGAACTTTGCTTAAAACTTAAAGCCAAGAAACAAGTTGGGATTCTATTCAAATAGTAGGTATGTGAACCTAAACGGCAGCTAAAGACAGGACAAAAATCCTTAAAACCAGAAAACAAAACCTAGAAGGAAATCAGCAATGTTTTAGTCAAAAGTCATATACTCCTATTTCACCAATTCAGTCTCATGTACTTAATCTATCTTCTGCTGTGGTCAGATTTTCTCGATTAAATTCTGGGATATAATATACAACTCCAGTCTTGTCCCTATGATTAAGTTAGCCATTTTCTTAGCTTTTGGACTCTCGTTTCAGTGTATCTGTATTTAATTTTCCTGGTATAGCACTCCCTTGAGAACTTCTTGGAGATCTGGTCTGGTGCTGGTAAATTCTTTCAGGTTTTGTTTATCTGAGAATGTTCTTGTCTTTTCTTCCCATATGAAGGATTATCTTGCTGAGTATAGAACTCTTGGTTGAAACTGCTTTTCCCTTAACATTCTGATATATTTCCCCATTCTTTCCTTGCTTGTATTGTTTCTAATGAGAGGTCTGCTGTTAGCCTGATGGGATATCCGTTGTAGGTAACTTGATGCTTCTCTCTTGCCAATCTTA